ACCCCGTTTGATATCCAGGGCTTTGCGTTGAAGGTTGGGATACAATATGTTATAGTGTGGAGCGGGGTGGCCGGTGATAGGGTGTGAGATGTTAGTTTGTGTCGGATTTTGTCCCAGGTATTCAGTGCTATTTTTATCTGTGCTGGCATCTGTGCCACTGCTGGTCTAAACCGGTTTGGAAGCCACAATAGGGTGGGTATATCAAAGGGCCTGACCGCTAGTTGTTCTAAGTGCACCCATTGCGGTGTAGTTGTGGTCATGAAATGGGGAAGAAGTGTTGCTAGCATTGCTGCTTGGTAGTATGACTTAATGTCCGGTAAGGCTAGGCCACCTTGTCTCGCTGGTGCTCGTAGCAGTGTTCCCTTTACTCGGGCCTTTTGACCCCCCCACACAAATCTATTTGTCTCTTTGTGTTTCTCGGAGATAGGATGCGGGTATCTGAATCGGTAGGTTGCAAAATAGGTATTGGAGCCTAGGAAGTATGGACATTTTGATGGTTGCTACTCTCTCCGTCCAGGTTAGAAACAGTGTGCCCCATTTTTTCATCAATTGACGGCATTCACCCCCCACCCTAACGTAGTTGGCCGAGAAGGTCTCTGTAGGGTTTTTCGTAAAGGTCAGTCCTAGATACTTTATTGTATCCGTTCTCCACTCAAAATGATGTTTCTCTTTGAGGGCAGTCAGGGTTCGGTGGTTGAGCCGAACCCCCAACGCTTGCGTCTTACTGGCATTAAGAGAGTAGTAAGACCTCTTGCCATATTCCCTGATGAGATCTAAGATGAGTGCGGTCGACTGTTCGGGCTCAGTGACACAAAGGAGTATGTCATCTGCAAATGCGCTAATTTTAATTTCCCTGCTGTGAAGCTCTATTCCTTTGATACCCTCTTGATTTCTAATTTGGACTAGTAGTGGTTCTAGGGCCAGGACGTACAACAGCGGTGATAGAGGGCATCCCTGCCTCGTGCCTTTTGTCAGGGGAAACGGGTCTGAGAGGAAGCCTGCTTGTAGCACTCGGGCTGTGGGGCTTGCATACAGAGCAAATATTTGTTTGATAAATTCTGAGGGGATGCCGTATTTTTGAAGTGTGTGTTCAAGAAATGACCAATTCAATCTGTCAAACGCCTTCTCGGCGTCGAGGGCTAATAAAAGCCCACCCTGTCCCGATCCCCTCAGTTTTTCCAGCACCAAGGAGAGTTTTCTGGTATTGTCCCTACCCTGCCTACTCTTAATGAATCCTGTTTGGTCGTCTCCTATGATAGTTGGGAGGATGGGTGCCAGTCTGTTGGCCAAAATCTTAGCATATATCTTCACGTCTGTATTAAGGAGGGATATAGGTCTAAAATTTTTGCAGCTATCCGTAGGCTTGTCTGGTTTCGGGAGCGTCACTATCGTGGCCACTAGCATTTCAGGGGGAAGGGATCCTGTTTCCGTCGCTGTATGGTATACCTTGAGCAAGTGTGGGGTTAGTATATCTATGAATGTCTTGTAATAGCTGTTTGAGAGACCATCTGCGCCCGGGGATTTGCCCGAGGGCAGACTCTTAATTACTGTCCGGATCTCCTGTATGGAGATCGGTTCGAGTAGGGCGCTCACTGATTCTTGGTCTAGTTTGGGGAGTTCCACACCCTGTAGGTAACTGCGAATAGATTGTGTGTCTGGTGCTGTTACGCCCCCACTTGTGTTTAGGTTATATAGCTGTTTGTAAAAGTGTGCAAATTCCTGCACTATGTCCATGGGGTTCATAAGTTTGTCTCCTGCGTGTCCTATAAGATGTGGGATTCTATTGGCGGCCTGCTTAGTTCGCAGTCTGTTGGCCAAGTATTTGGTTGCCTTGCCGCTGTGGTGGTACGTGGTGGCTCTTAGTCTATGTAGGAAATATTGGGTCTTGTGGGCATTGAGCTCATTTAGGTCCTGATACAGACCTCTTAATTTGTCTGCTAGGGCTGCCGTGGGTGTTTTCTTGTTTTGGGCTGTGTGTATCGCTATCTGTTTGTGGCATTCTAGTAGGGTGGTCTGATGATGTCTCTTTATGTACGCTGATTGCCTGATGAACTGGCCCCTCATCACCGCTTTGTGTGCAGCCCACACTGTATAGTCCGTGACCTCGCCCGTTGCATTCGCAAGGAAGTATTCCCTAAGTTCTATCTTCATACGTTCTACAAACGATTTATCTAATAGGAGGGACTCGTTTAGCCTCCATGTGTTCCTGCCTCGGGTCTGATAGGTATCTTCCACGTCCAGATAGATTGGGCTGTGGTCTGACCACGTTATCTCCCCTATCCTGCAGTCTGTCAATTGCGGCATGGTCTTGTTATCTATAAAGAAGGTGTCTATACGTGTGTACGTGTTGTGGACCCTTGAGTAGAAGGTGTAGTCCCGGTCTGTAGGGTGTAGTGTTCGCCAGCTATCATATAAGTTGTACAATGTCAAGGTGTTGGTGAGATTCTTGCAGAGGGCTTGGGTCCCCTTTTTGCGCTTTCCCTGTGGCGAAGCAGTAGTATCTAAGGTCGGGGACTGAATGAAGTTAAAGTCTCCTCCCAGGATGAGCCCTCCTTGTTTATATGTATCTAGTTTGGACAGAAGTGCTTTGAGAAAAGAGGCTTGATTGTCATTCGGGAAGTATGCTGTGCCAATGGTGTATTGTGTATTATTGAAGAGCCCTACCACTATGATGTATCTCCCTTTAGGATCTATGTAGCTGCCTTGTGGCGTGAAGGCGATGTCTTTATGCACTAGGATGGCCACCCCTTTTGTCTTCGTCTCCGATAAGGCATGATACTGTACGGGGTATAGTTTTGTGAAAAGGGTTGGGGCTGTGGGGTGTCTAAAGTGTGTTTCTTGGAGGCATGCGATATCTACCGAGTTTTTCTTAAGGTCTTGGAACAGCAACCTGCGTTTTCCCGGGGAGTTTAATCCTTTAACATTATAGGACACTATTCTCATAATGATGTGGTTGTGGTTGGTGACCCAAGAGCTGGTACTTGTGGTAGGAGAACTACGTTTTAGGCTTTACACCCAATGTTTCGGTGAAAGCCTTTGTGTGGCAGTTCGGTGTAGATGTCTGTTGCAAAAGTGATATGGAGGCAAGAAGGGGACGGGGTGAGGTCAGCCTTTAGCTGTTGTCCTTGTGTCGTTTCAGTATGTATGGGGGAGGGAGGGGTAAACAAAGGGCTTAACCCTATGAGGCTCCTCTGGATCGAGCCTGTTTGCGGCGCCCAAGGGTCGCACGCAGTGTGGGGGGGTGGTGAAGTTGGGACTTCCAGTGCGGAGTGTGTCCCTGTGACAAGCACACGTTGGGGCACCATGTGTGCTGATGTGGTTAGCCTGCCTTTTTTTTTTTTTGTATTCTCTCCCTTTCCGTCACTTCCCTGCCTGTGGGCCTCCAGTGTCCCGGCTCCCCAACCTTTGGTGTTTGGGCAGTGTCGTGGTCTAACCGAGAATAAATTTCGTTGTGGACCTGGCTAGTCGGCCTGGGAGGTGGTCAGGGGGGCCCCGGTACATACCCACGTATTTCCCAGGTGTAACAGTAAAATAAGAAAAAACGGATTAACAGAGTATTAAATACAATAAGATAAATGACAATTGGTTATGAGTCTTACGTATACCATACGGTCATGCAGTCTCTTTAGCGGGATGCCCAATCCTGGGCCAGGTGGGGAATTTTCGTTGGGCCTGTTTTTTGTAACTCTGCCAGCGGGATTCCCCAGTCTCTGAGCATCTTGATGCCTTGCGTCGCTGATGTGATGGCGTGGAGGGAGTCTCCATGGTAGACCAGCAGCTTGGCCGGATATCCCCACCTGTAGTTTACTCCTTGGTTGCGCAGTGATAGCGTGATTTGTGCCAGAGATTTGCGGTATTGTAATGTCTCTGCCGAGAGGTTGGAAAAGATTTTGATGTTGGAGAATTTTTCCGGCATCCCTCTATTCCTGCTGGCTTTGATAATTCTTTCTCTGGCATGGAAGAAATGTACTCTTGCTATGACGTCTCTCGCTGCTGTATTGGGTAGGTAACTAGGTCTTCTGAGGCGATGTGCTCTGTCCAGCAGAAGTTGGTCCGGGTGTAGTTCTGGGGTCATCTGTTGGAACATGTCTTGCAAGTATTTATCTAGGTCCGCATTTGTAACTGATTCTGGTATCCACCTAAATCGGAGGTTGTTCCTCCTAGACCTATCTTCCAGGTCTGCCAGCTTGATCTTTTGAGCTGTAATGACATCTTCCATTTCCTGCATTTTATCAGCCACACTGTTATGTGCCATGGAAAATTCGTCCATCTTAGATTCTAGATGTGCAGTGCGTGTCCCTATGTCCTGCAAGTCTTTCCTAAGTTCGTTTGTCAGTGTCAACATTTGAGCCTTAAGGCTTCTCTGCACTGTGTTCGTGAGCTCTGTCATCATACCTCTCATAGTTGCCACTGTGAGTGGTTGGTCCTCAGCAGTTGGTGCTGGGGAAGCTGGGGATGCAGGAGAGCCCTCCCGGGATCGTGGCGGGCCGCCATCTTGATCGGCGTCTTCCCGCGCTTTTTGTGAAGTGGCTTTCGCTTGAAAGAAGGACGCTTTATCCGTCCTCGCTGGTTTCGGTTTTTGTCTCTGGGACATGGTATGTGACAGTCTGCCGTCTCGCTAGTGCTGGCGCTCGGTAGCCCGGTTATTTGGGTGCCCCTTGTGTCCTGAGCGGCGGGAGCTACTCCGGCATGCGACCGTGCAGCTTGAGCGCTTAGCCACGCCCCTCGGGTCTGCATTTTAAGGGTTTTTTGGTGGATCAGAACTGGAGCTGGCATGAATGGCTGCCGCTCAGCTTGGCAGCCCGGCCCCGTCCCGATTTTATTGCACATTACTCTATATAAGCAGTTTTCCTTTCAATTCAGATTAAGAATGCCTGGGTACACAAATCTACCTGTATGTTCTACAGGATCCGTGTTTGTGAGGTACTTCTTGATATAGCTAGAAAGCTATCAATGATTTAAACAGAAACAATCTAGCAACTTCTAGCTATAATCTGAGGTGTGTTGGCAGCTAATATCTCTATGTAATGGTAAATTGGAACCTTGTGTCTTCAAACTCAGACCTGGGATATTTGTTACCAGTAGAGGCATGCTGGATTTACCTCCCACAAATGGTGAGTTGGAAGCTCCTGACTACAGATAAGTGTCCATCTCCAAAGACCTCTCCAGAGTTCTGGAACCTCAGGAGAATTGGAAGTCCCTAGGTGACAATAATGCATCTTGGAAGTTAGTGCTAGGTATACAAAATGATATGAAGTTGCTACATTTTAAAATCGATTTAAGAAGGCAGCTCCTAACTACAAAAAGAAGCAGCTTCTAGAAAGGTCACAAGTACATTCTGTCTACAGGGAATAGTCAACAGAGGTAAGTTGGCATTCTCAAGGTTTAAACATGGACACAGTATATTCTAAATTGTACACAGAGATAATCTTGAAACTTCCTGAGCTATTATGTCCTTGTTCTACACCTCAGAAAACAAAGCTAGATACATTCAGTGAGGGCAGCATTGTGCCTTAAACAGATATAAATTGCTAACTTCAAGCTTCAAACAGAAGAGACCTGGCAGCTCTAACCTCTACTTGATGTAAAGTGGAAGCTCTTACCCTCCAACACATCCAATCTGGTTCAACCTGCTCTATACAGAAGGGTTCTTGATACCTCCCAACTTCGGCATCCTGTGAAGTGGGACACTGGTGATTGGAGTAAAAGGGAACTGGTGGCGACATGGTTTTTGCCCATAGAATTGACAGGTCACGCAATGCTGCCTGGCACTCAAGTAGGCCGGCCCACCAAGGGCAGAGAACAATGCTTCAGGGTTTTTTGCCGGATCCTAATGCCCTGAGCAATAGATCAAGTTCATCAGGATAGGACCTAAAAAGTTGGACTTCCCTGAGGAGAGTTAGGAGGCCTTGTTCTATGCAAAGGTAGGCTGGCCCCATCTACATCTTAATTAACAACTGTCATATGCCAATATCTCATATAGAACTAGGTCCTTGGTTTAATATTTTTGGATAAGCGTGTCAAATGATTGATATACAAAAATTCCCATACACTTTAACGGTGCTTTCTGCAGATAAATCATTTGAAAAGCAGTTTTTTTTTTCTAACAGATTGTGATCATCTGAAATGCTGATTCAAATGAATAAAATTGATGCTAGGTTCTGATACCAAGCAAACATAACTAAACCATGGGAATTTATTAATATACTCTGCGCAATACTCTGACAAGCTGCTTGATGGTGACTCTCAACAGCTATCTGTAGCTAGTATGGTTCAATGAATTTCCTAAACAAGTCTGCCTTCAGGAGAAGACATCAGAGATTATGTAAAAAGTGTAATTCTGGTTCTAAGAAGAGTCAGTCAGCCAGCAGGAACTTTCAATTGGTTTTCATGGGGACTGTTTCACTTTTAGAACTTCATCCTCTAATTACTCTTTATCCATAACCCTAAATGTCTCTGCTTTTCAGTCTCTTCATTTTCCACGTGATTCAAATGTATCTATTTTTTTTTAGTAAAGTTAGTTAAATGTAAATATCAGCAGTTATGCTGCAATGTATTTAAAGGTAGAAAACACAAAAACATTCATTTAAATGATACGTTCCCTTTAATGACATCTTGAAGCCAGGGTTGTACAGTCTGTAAAAATACATTAGTGTTGGTTTAATTGGGAGCAATATATAAATACAAGCTTTTTTTTTTCCATTTTAAGGCCCCACTTAACAAAATGTTTCAAATTTAAAAATCTGCTCCAATCCACACTAGCACACTAAGAACTGAAACTACCAAGCGATGCGCGACTTGTAAGGTGTCTGGAAAGGAAACAGGGCGACTAACAGAAGGGTCTGGGCCCTCTACAAGCCCCAAGGGAAGAGAAATTTCGAAAGTAGATATTGTAATCTTCTAGCTCCTTCCTGAAACAGTTTGCGGCCTTCTCATCGCATTCACAAATCATCTTCTCGCACCGATTATGGGCTTTCACTGAAAACAGAAATGAATATTATTATATCAACACCCATCTCATGTTCATTATTATTATTACTGTATTTTTCCATGTATAAGATGCCCCCATGTGTAAAACGACCCCTACTTTTGAGCCCAAAATTAAGAAATCAATATTTTAAACATCAAGTAGAACAACTTTGATATTTTAGAGGTGACTTCTGAGGAGAACACATTCCTGATTCTCATGCCTCCCCTGTGCTGCGGTACTCTGTGAAGGTAATGGCTCTATAGTGCATGCTGGGATACAGCTCCCACAATACAGCAGGTGGTGTGAGGACATGCTGGGACATCACAGCAGTATTCCCTCTGCTCCCTGATTCCCATTTCCTCCCCCATAAATATAAATCAGAAAGCAAGACATGCCTGAGTTGGAGCAAACCTTAATGTGGCTGCTCCTTTTATGGTGTGGCATGTCTTTGGAACTCCATTGGTGGTAAATGCTGATGTCTGCTGCAGATCCCACGCATATAGGGACCTCTTCCTCCTTGCCACAGCATTCAGAAGTGGAACGGCGGGAGGGAGGCCAGGTATGTGTGTTAGCCGTGGCACACTGAAATGTGGCAGGCGCCATCTGAACTTAGGCCCTGCGCACAAGTGTTTTTTTTAACCCCTGCAGTAACATTCTGTGTATAAGACGATCCCCAATTTTAGACTAAAAAATTTTAGAAAAAAAAACAGTCTTATACATGGAAAAATGTCAGTTTGCTGATGCATTTTGTGTGGGTTTTTTTTTGTGTTTTTTTAAAAAGAACTGTATGAATCTAGGTTCAACTTCCTTTTGCAAGGAATGTTGGAAAAGATGCACATGTGTACAGATGTGACATAATGAACTTACGCCAAAAATGACGATGCATTCAGTCTGTGCGGACATGAACCATATGAGCATCCATAATATGTGGATAATGGGTATTATAGTCTGCACTGTACTGGCAGAGTTAAATTCATTAGGTACACTGCACCCACATACAGGTGCATTAAATGCTTACAATCACTCAGACCCAGCGGAGCTTTACTAAAATATATGTAAGTGAGAATTAAAAAATAACTTCTAAGTCTGGATATATTTTATCGTGAAAAAGATGTTTTTCTGTCTACTGTGGAGTCAGAGGAAAACTTTAGAGTTAGGAATACAGTTTTGTTAAAGTTAGAATATGTGCAACAACTAATGTGTGAATCTAGTTTATATTGTTCCGTCAGTAGATGGCAGTGTTTCAGTTGTATTAGGACTGCATTCATAGAAGTATCTCAAATAGTTTATATTTTTGCAACATCAAGTGATGTATAGAAGAGCTGCATAGAGTATGGTTTCTCAATGCATCTAGAGCCTAAATATCTCACGTTGATTACCGAAAAGCAAGCTACTCTCATCTGCTCATGAGTTAAGTGTGTTTGCGGTTTTTTTTTGCACAAGAGGCGCTGAGCTGCATGGGACCTTTTGACATCACAAGCGTACTTACTGCATTTCACTTTCTTTTCCTCTTCTACATAGAAACGGTAGGTCTGTGTTACTGGATTGCATCCACTAATCTCAGCCTTATTGTAACAGCAATCCTGGCTGTGGCAACACCTTAAGAAAAGATATACGCGATTATTGTGATATTCCCCACAATTTGCACACTATGCAATAACCCTGGCTATGACTAACATCACAGTACCTGAGCGTTTATATTACAATTTCACAGCACTTTGTATTACACCGATTAGACTATTAAATAAGGAAAGGACGCACGCAAAACTTTTTTTTAAATTATGAAAAAATTGTTTTAGTTGTAACAAATGCCTTTTCTGCTTCTACTGCTAACAAAAGACATGTGGATTGGACATCTTTATGCTCTCCCACCTCTGTTCTTCATATTTCACAAAATTCTACCCATTTAAAGATGGGGGCCTTCTTCACGACTATACCTATCGAGCAATGACCTACTTCAATACTAACAAGTGACCATTAGATTGTGTCAATGTTCTTGCTTTTAACAAGTTCCGTTCTATCATTCTGCACTGACTGTATTTTGTGACTTTTGAAATTCAATAAAATTTCTATACCATAAAAAAGAACTTAGTCCTAAATTGTTGCCATAAAGACTCAACAAATGACTAAAACAGGCACATCGTTTGAACCTAATGTACAGATTGTATACTTAGATTATAGCAGATGCTTATAATACTCATATTCAAGAAAATAAAATTTATCTTACCAGTCAACGGCATCGACTGGCATTCCTTGGTTGTTAACGCCGCAGTGACAGCCATAATCGGAGAAGTTTGCCAGACCATATATAACTGTAGTCACCTTAATCATATCATCAAACTGGGCAGGAGTACTGCTAGCAAGACCTACAACTGTATGAAAAAGTAATGTGTTACTTGGTTTGTGGAGGCCGCCGATCCACTTTATCAAAATTTTACAGTAGAAGAACTACAATATTCTTTATGGTTTGCCAACCATATGGTGTGGTTTAACAACATCTGGAAATCTATCATTAACTACGGATGCATTAGAGGACTGAACAGTGATGTAACATGAATTCAAGAAACAAAGTCCGTGATGCTAAGTGCATTGCAGCCTAAATAAAGGGGACATTACAATTATTTTATTATTTGTATAGTGCCGTCAGATTCTGTAGCGCTGTACAATGACAAATGTGTTAATGAAACTAAAGCTGCATTCGTGCATGTAAATGCTATAACTCACCTGTCTTGAAAATAAATCTAGTGCTGATTATTTGCGACATAGCTAACATATTTTCAGACACTGGGGAAACTACAGGCAAGTGGTATATTTTTCAGAGGGATAAAGAAAACTTTGACAAAGATATTCAAGTCGATCATGAGTCCTAAAAATCTTCTCTTTTTTTTCTTTATACTTTGGGGAAAAGCTAAGCCAAATATCGACTATTTGTAAGAAAAAAATCAAAACTCACAGCTTGTCTATTTAAGCCTATATTTTGCTATTTGGTTTATAATTCAGTGTTTAGAAAATAGGCTCCGTTACATAGAACTCTGTGTGTACAGTACTTTTCAATATTACATAGAGTTGATTTTACGATAGCATTTCCTTTATTTATTGTTAACAATACACAGATGTCTAAATTTTCCTTATACCCAAACATACAGAAGTTTATATGTAACCATTTCGGCAGAGGCTCCCACATCCCAAAATATTATTTTTACAGATATCTCCCACATACACATTCTTTAATTGCAATATAATATATACTTCGTTACAACCTTCATTAGACTTTTCTCATTGTGAGAATAGCCATCATGAAAGGCAGTACGAGTACACTAAGTTGCATATTGTAGGAAGTTGCCTTGGGGACAAACTAATGTGATTTGGTGTGTTCCAATCACTGGGGACCTACCTGTTCAAAGGATTAATAATAACTTGAGTTCTTGACCATGGCTGTTTTTACTGTAACATATTGTCCGATTCCTGCATGTGTCTTTATATAAAGGGTCACAATGTTACCAAAAGAGAGAAAATTTTAAAAATAATATATAACAGAAAATACTCACGGCCGATCAGAGCCACTGCTAAGAGGAGATGTCTTTCCATTTTGAGGTTTCCTTGTGTGCAGTTGTCTAATGCTGTTTTAGGTCTGACTATTGCACCCTATATATAGATCCCTTACCTTCATCTGCTAGTCTGCAATTACTGTTATTACAAGGGGTGGCAACAACAGAGATTAAAAGGGAAAAATACAGTATTTGTTTTTTGGCTGTTTGTGGACCAGAGATTGACAAGATTCAAAATGACTAGTACAGATATAATGATAGAGTAGAACTTATCATTATTTGCAAAGGTAATATTTTAGGATCTGTATAGATTTTAATTATTTTTACTTTTAATAAAGTCTGGAGGATGTAAATCCGGAATACGTAAAAGAAAGTTACACCTTCATCAGTTTTGCTCAAGGACGGTTTTGTTTAAAAAACGAATCCATTCTGAATTATCGTTCAGTTTGTTAGTGTAGCTATTGAGCAAACATAGAGGGTTCATTCACTCAATGGTGATATCTAGTGTATTTACAGCTGGTTTGAAAAATGTAGGCCCAAAGGATTTATAGTTCTTATCAGCTCACTGTTCATTGAACAATACCAACTTTATTACAACCTTATTACTGCTCCAGGCACCCAAAAATAAATATATCTCACTTTATTTCTTCACATGGGGTATACTAAAAGGCCAATTTAAGTAAGGTAAGGACAGCTTTACAACACTGACTGGCATAAACCCTTTAGTGAAATAAACACTAAAGTAAATGTGATATCTTTAAACAAATACTAGAAAGGTACACTTCTCAGTATGTACCATTGGGTAATAAATATAAAAGAAACACATTGAAACCAGCATGGCTTAGTGTTAAAGTAAACCAAGAGATTACAAATAAGAAAATGGCATTTAAAAAAAATCACAGGCTTCCTATTAAAAGATATGAGGAGTCCAATAATGTATGTCTTAAAAAATTTCCTGTGAGAAGCGAAACATGTTAACGTCGTCATACAAGTCACGTTAAGTTTAAGACTTTGTCTCGGCCTGCTTTCCTTGGAAGATTCTGCTTTCTCTGCGGTAGCAGTATATGAACTACACAGCCCAGCAGGGCAATACGCCGTGAGCTATCCAGCATTTGGAATCCCTCCTGGACACCTGGATAATTTATGGTGCATATAGACTGCTTATTGTTGCATTTTTCTATTGGTTGAATACACAGTATTCGCCTCTCCAGTCCTCCGGGCTCTAAGTATTCCACAGTTTGGGATGTTGCGGTTCTTCTAAGGTTTATACATAATGAAACTGCTATGTTTATAGAAAAAAAGGGTTAACCCTAGCTGGACCTGGCACCCAGACCACTTCATTAAGCTGAAGTGGTCTGGGTGCCTATAGTGGTCCTTTAAAATAGCAAAACGTGAAGCCCCCTTTCATGTTGTAAAAATGCAGAGTACTCTTGCTTTAGTGAAGAGATAATCTTAATTTTATTGACATTTTCCCTCGCTATTAATTTTGTTACATGTATGATTATGGTGTTATCTATATTATGGTTAATGACATTCATTTAGTTGGTTTACATTCAATATTAACTGCATTTGCCGTTTGCTTAAGTATGTGTTTGTTGCAGTATATGTTTTTTTCCGTTTATCGGTACATATCCTTTCATTTTTTTTTTCTTTTCAGTTTAATTCTTCATGGAATCATTTGGTTTTTGAGATTTCTTCCCAAAAAGCAATTGAATGGATCAGTTAGTTCCCGTTAACGCTTGTTCTGTGCCACCAAAGAAAGAAGATGTGCTTCCTGGGAGAGGCTTATATACCCTCCTATTCTGTTTCTGATTGGTTGTTGTTTTTCCTTATTAATCTTTGCTGCAATCGAGTTACAGTAAAAGGAACTTTAGCAAAATATTGGCCTCCTGTCATTGTTAAAATTAAGATTATCTCTTCACTAAAACTAGGATAATCTACAATTATTGATAACACTTGAGTGGTCCTTTAAAGTCCAGTTATCTAGTTATTGGTAACAGGACAAAAATTAGAGGATGGAGCGTTGATATAGTGTAAACCTTGTAGTGTAGAGTGTAGTTTCAGCAATAAAAAATATGTTTATAATATTGCTGGATTGATGCAAACGTTCAGATTTCATGATTTTGTGATATCCTGACAAACCCAGCACCGTTCCACTGTTATTGCTAATGGCAGGTATAATCTAACAATAGTTCCTATTGTAAGTGAAACTTTGATTAAACACCGACCACTCCCAATAATAGTAGCTCTTTGTGTGTGATTGCTACGTCGATACACAACATTAAGAAAAAAGCAGATTACAAAAAATCTTTTGTCCAGAGTCATCTCAATGAATCCAATTGCATTGTGTGAACGCCAGGAACACAAATCCAAGTTTAATAAGAGGCCATCCTAGATATTTGCGTAGATCCGCGCAAATACTTACAATGCACTGTGTATTATTATTATTATTATTTATATAGCGCCATCAGATTCAGTCAGTCATTCTGAGTTGGTGATTTTCACAGTGAACGGATGAAGGCACTATCCTTGTGTTTCTATTCTTCTATGTTTCTATGTTCTCTCTATATCACCCCAAACCGGCCTGTATTCAACAGCCCCACCACACCCGATCCCTGTCAGACTGGAACAGCGCGGCTACTGCTACTGATAGGAAATTATTACATACAGTTGTGGCACACACACAGTATCTGAGAGAATTTTATTTTTTTGTCTCTATTCCACTGCTGGTTTCTATTAATTAATAGTTTCTACTATTAGCTTCTAAAACAGGAGAACTGTCACCTCAACAATGTTTTTTTTTTTTAGTTTTTTTTTTAATATAATAATCAAGTTTAGAAAGGAGTTAGATTCTGTGTTAAATGAAGTGTATGTAAAAAAAAAAAATGAGAAAAAAAACTCATCCCTATCTTTGGTATATGACAGGATCAGTCAGCCATATACATACACCTTGGGTTAGTTAGACATAGAAAACCTCTATATAGTCTCTATGGTCTTCCTGGCTTCACTCCCAGCACAGTGACATCATCAGACTAACTGTCAGATTTCAAACACTGTCTGACCCAGGGTGTATGCATATGGCTGAAGGGTCCTGTCATATACTAGAGGGAGGGATTTTTCTCATTTTTTAAATCTATATTTAATTTAGCAAATAATCTATTTCCTTTCAAAACTCCATAAAAGGATCCATATATTAAAAGATAGTGCTGAGGTGACAGTTATCCTATAATTTAGCTCTTTCTGTACTTACCTATCACCACCAGAGCCAGATTTATAATACGTATCTATGTAGGTACCTACCTACAGGCTTTTGACTGCTTGGGCACAGAAAGTGAGTACTCTGCCTGTTAAATTCAGTCGCCTGGAGGGCTGGGCTTGGCCGCCATACTGGGCCGATACATGGCAGACGAGCTCCTCATGAACTTTAATATAAAGCTTACAATTAGAGCACTATTCGCTTATTACTCGCCACCAAAAATGTCACCATTACATCCAGCAATTGGCGGACACCCGACAGTGCTTTTTTGCTACGCGTATCGCTGGACATCTTGCCTTTTGCAACCACAGCCTAGCGTTGCCTCGGAAGGGAGGGGAAGTCGAAATCCTTGTCTGAGCTTGTCCTGGTTGGCCGGAGGGTCCCGTAACACCCCTATCTGGAACGGTGGGGGTTATCCAGGTCCTCACCTCTACAGTGCATGACATTCACCTGTACAACCGACACAGACTGTACTAGGCCACGTGCCTGACATCAAAATGGCGGCAGACTTTGAATACTCCCAGGATTCCCGTTGTAGAGTTGGAGGGAGGCCTTCTGCTCTACATTTGACTGCATCTGCGAGAAATTCTGGCTACGGATCCAGGCAAGAGCAATACAAGTCAACTCAACAGCTGGGAATCCGCTCCCTGTTGACACAAAAGGCCTTTTCCTCCATTTCTGAGCCGGGAACCCATATGGGGTCTCACTTTGAGCAGCGACCATACACCCTGGAGATTCCACAACAGGATGTCACCCGGGACATTGCCCTGAATATAGGGGCCAGCGGACATTGTACATTGTACTACAGCTCCCAAGGAGGTTTGGAGCTGGGAGGATGAAATCCAGGCACGACACGGGAAGCAACTTGCCACTACACCTGTTTTACTACACAGAATAGCCTTCCACACTACAGACTCTCACCTTACTATGACGGGATACCCCAAGTCTCGGGGTCAGTGGGGCTAGATGGTAATTTTAACACTATAGGGACAAGAATGCATCTTAACCTCATAAAAAAAGCAATTGTCATTTTTTTTTTTTTTTTTTTAAAAGCAGCAACCTGCAGTGCCGAAATCAAGGCTGCTGGAGTCTTTGTGGAGATCACGGTTTTCCCATTTTGTTTTCTTTTAGTTTTCCTTTCCTTACGCCCCCTGTATCTTCATGACTGCACTCCGAATTGACTTTGCCTATATTTGTATTTATTACCTTCTCATCCTATGTCAATACCTGGGTTACTCCATTTTGTATTCCTCTGTCCATGACGTCTTCAGTTTGCCGTCTGTGGGATTCTTCTGACTGATGGATCGTGGCTATTCCTTATGAGAACATCTGTACACACACAGGGTTATATACTACAGTGAGAATTGCTGGGAATTTAAAGGACCACTATAGTTCCAGGAAAACATACTCGTTTTCCTGGCACTATAGTGCCCTGAGGGTGCCCCCACCCTCAGGGACCCCCTCCCGCACAGCTCTGGAAAGGGGAAAGGGGTTAAAACTTACCTTTTTCCAGCGCTGGGCGGAGAGCTCTCCTCCTCCGATCCTCCTCTTCTCCTCCCCGTCGGCTGGCTGCGCGTGCATTCAGCCGGTCACATAGGAAAGCATTCATAATGCTTTCCTATGGACGCTGGCATGCTCTTACTGTGAAAATCACAGTGAGAATCACGCAAGCGCCTCTAGCGGCTGTCAATGAGACAGCCACTAGAGGATTAGGGGGAAGGCTTAACCCATTAATAAACATAGCAGTTTCTCTGAAACTGCTATGTTTATGAAAAAATGGGTTAACCCTAGCTGGACCTGGCACCCAGACCACTTCATTAAGCTGAAGTGGT